CTGGACATTGACTAGACTCCATTGTTTCAATCTCAGTGTATCAGTACCATACACTCCTAAACTTCACGTGGTATCATCAGGTTGCAGCACTGTTGTGTTCCTGTTGCTTCTTTTGACCTGTCTGATGCCCACAGCACAGGCTGCCTGTTGCTTCTTCACAGAAACAGGTCCCCAGCACTCAGCTTCCTGGCTCCAGCAACCCATGCCAATTCCTTGATTCACCAAGGAGCTTAAATGCCACGTTTCCTGGATCTCAAGTCTTGTGGTCGATTTTACAGTTCAATTCTGAAGGACATACGATACTTGAAAGGAACAGACTTCATAACAGTGCCTAAACACGATTATTTCTTGCTTTAGTTAGCTGAAGTAATATACTGATCTAGATGTTATAAACATACTGTGCATTTCCTCACCGTTCTGGACAGTTCGTTATACATGGACACAAAACCTCCATGGACTCGAGGCTCCTCCTCCTCCAAACCATGAAAGCTCTGACCTCGGCACTCAGTGCTCTTTGACTCTGCTGCCCTAAGCTCCCTCTGACACGGCAAGTAAATCACTCAAGACCTCCAGACCCCCTTGTTGGGAGATCTCAGCCCCCTGCTCAGCCTTGTTAGATCATCAAAAAGGTAATCTGTTGCTGGCAGAATAGATGTTCTTGGTTTAGCCACTTTCTTTAGCAGATTTTGTAATGACCAGTTAACTTGAGGACCAGGGACAAGCAGCACATGAAAAAGGTAAACTTAGTTGCATATTGTTAAAAAAAAAAAACCCAGAAAATTCCCCATTTTCTCCATAAGCACATTTACAAAATCTCACCCTATCACATCCAAACAATACCAACCTTCACTTTATTTGCTGTATCCATCCAAAGGTGATGGAGATTTCTAGAGGCTCTCCTATTTTCCTGTTTTGTAGCAGTCTTCTAGTGTATTGTACTGAACTCCTGTATACAGGATTTTCAGAAACATCTAAGGCTGCCTGCAGATGTTAAAAACCAAAACCAAAACAGTACTTTACTTTAAACTCTGTGCACCCCTGCGCCGAGCCCAGTGCACGCCCAGAGGCAGTGCATTAGTTGGACTGGGCTCGCCTGACATCTGTATAGATCAGGCACTTTAATGGGGCTTTTTTGGCATTTTTATCTAATAGCTGATTGAATCAGCTTCAGATAAAAGCACCAAAGAGCCCTGCTGAAGTGTCCAATCTATACAGATGCTATGGTGCTGGATCGAAGTAACGTGCTGTATCTTCTGGTATGGCGCGCTTTAAAAATCAAACAAACAAAACCCCCCATCTGCAAGCAGCTTCTGTGAATTAAAGCAAGTTGGGGGTGGGGGGAGAGGGAGAAATCAATGGGCACAGTGTCCTTAAATCACTGAGGAATGCTTTTTTGAAAAAAAAATCTCACTTCATAGGACAAATTATTGAAATTATTGGAAGTTTTGCTACTGACCTAAAATAGGATCAAGCTTTGGCCATTCTGCTGCCTTTTTTTTAGCCTGAGTGCAGAATGCAGTGGCTTGTCGGTTAAAGGCAATGAGCAGCTATAAGCACACATAAGCAGCTTCCCCCCCCGCCCCATGCTCTGCACTGATCTCCTGTTTGCTAGTTAAATGTATAAAAGAGCTAAATATTGTAATATCCAGCTATTTAAAGGGAAGCCTTCCCCCTTTTTTCTATTGCTAATCTATAATGATTTGCTTCTTTGGTAGACTATTCCATGTTCAGTGGCAGAGAACTTCTAGCACATTGTCCACATTTCTGAAATCAAATCTTCAGTTATTGCTGGGTGAATACAGCTGCAATACAAATGACTGCCACTCTTCTGAACAGAAACCATTTTCTAGTTGAAGAATTTTTCACATTTTTGTAAACCAGTTTAACTGGCTTGTTTCAACTTTAAAGCTAATTTTTTAAAAGTATTTCACATTTGGGAATCTTGTATCTTTCAGTAAATTGACTGCTGCATAATTTCACTTAATTTTACTGAATTAACTTCTACAGTAGGGACAAATATTCTAATGATGATCTCATATATCCCTTACATGTGTTTTGTGAATGTCTAGACCAGGAGTGGGCAAAATGGTGGATCCAGCCAGTAGCCAGACTCCCATTTCCCAGCAGCCCCCTTATGTTGATGTGACCAGTTTCCGTGGAGACCCCAGTAGTGGCAGCGCAGGGCCAGGTTTTCCATGGAGACTGGCCCCAGCAGTGCTGGCAGGACACGTGGCTGGGCAGGCAGCGGCTCTGGGGCCAGGATCTTGCAGTGGTGACAGCATGGTCCGGAGCTGGGGCAGAGCCATAACCTGCTGCCTGTTCACACTGTGCGAACAGTGGATCACAACTCTTCTCCGGCTCCAGATTATGCTGCCACCACTGCAAGATCCCAGCCCTGGCCCCAGAGCAGCTCCCTGCTCAGCCACACATCCTGCCAGCGCTGCTGGGGTTGGTCTGTGAAAACCCTAGCTACACAGTCACAGCACCGCTGCTACTGGGG